TAATCCCTAGCAGTTTGCTTTTAATCCTTATCTAAACAATCTGGGCTTAACTGAACAAACACTCTTAACAGGCAGCTAATTTTATTGTCCCCTTAAGGCCAATAAAACCAGGCCTTTGGCAGCTAGGGAGACTTCGCAAAGCAAGTGAGAAAGAAGGTTCAAAGAAGTCAGTTTCTTTGTCAACTATGGACTATTCATTTTCAGGTCGAACCCTGAACCGGCACTGCTGTGAAAATGGAGGAACCTGTATCCTGGGCAGTTTCTGTGCATGTCCCAAACACTTTATTGGCAGATACTGTGAGCACGATGAACGGAAAAGGTAAAGAAGGTATACATTTTGGTGATTTTGGTTTGTCAATTAAACATGGAAATAATGTTGAATCTTCTGATTTGTCATTGGCAGCAACTGTGGCCCATTCGTGCATGGAGAATGGATATGGAAAGGTTGTCAGCTATGTCGATGTGGTTATGGCATTCTTCACTGTTTATCTGAACAAAGACAAAACTGTGGTAAGGAGAAGAAGCATCACTGGGGGAAAATATGCCTACAGTTGTTGATGCAAAAAAGAATCAATACTCTTATGATATCTGAAACATGAACACATTTATAATGGCATAAATTACTCTGCAGTGTAGTTTAGGTTATTTAAATGTCAGACTCGTACTTTTCATTACGAAATACTAAAGGAACTATTACATGAATGATTAGGGGCTACTCTGAAATGTTAAATTTCTTCACTGAGTTAAAGTCCAAATATGGTTGCTGAGAGTTTGTTGATGTCGTGCTTTGTCCTATATCCACTTCATCTGAAATGCTTTCTCAAATGTCATAGCATTTGTCTCTATCAGAGATTTTTTTTCTCCTCTCCAGTTTTAGAATAGCCAGGCCTTCTAGATCAGGCGTGGGCAAGAAAGCACCTTTCAGATGTTGTGGACTATGATTCATAGTTGGTGGCCTAGGATTGAGAATTTTAGAGCCACTCATCCCAATGGCCTTAACCCCCCTCCCCCCACACACATACATACTTTAGATGAGTACTTGAGAGAAGCTATCCAAGGTTTCTTGTCTACATGCATACTTTATCCTCTGACTTCTATTTCCAAAATGTAGAAAGCAGTTTCAGGAAACAACAGGCTGGGAGAGAATTATGTCTTGGAATCTGTAATTCAGATTAGATTATCATAATGGTCCCTTCAGGTTTTGAATACCCATTGTTTTTTAAAGGTGGCTTATACAATATATCTCTCTTATTCAAATAGCTTATTGTCTTTTCATTGTACATTGAACAATTAGGTTTGAAAAGGAACTAGCTGTACTCTTGTCTACCTTTTTATATGTAAAAGGTGCACTAATTTTGTGATTTTTCTATTTTTACTGTGCATTCCCAAACATGCATCAGCCCAGGGCAGGAGGGGGGTGGGGAAGGAGTAGAAAAAGTTTTTTTTTTTTTTTTTTGTTGGTACCCTCAAGTCAATTTTGGTGATTTCCTGAACAAATTCCTGCAGTTTTCTTGGCAAAATTCCAAAAGTTGCTTTCCATTGCCTGCTTCCTAGCTGGCTTCGTGCCTAAGGCAGGACTAGAACTCACAGTCTCCTGGTTTCTAGCCTGGTGCCTTAACCACTACACCACACTGGTTGTCTGCAAAAAGCCCTTAGGAAGAATTAACTTTCTCTACAGAATTGGGGTGACAGAACTGTATTTCCAGATATTCCTTGGCAATTGTGGCTTAAAAAGCAGCCATTTTTTTTTCCTAATCTACCTTTACAAACATTATTACAAGCAGCCATTCAGTAGATGAAGCAGAAGCAAGAGAACTTCTTCATTTTTCTGTCTCTGCTGCAGCTGTTACAGCACAGAAGTCTTGCATGCTGGGAGGGACAGGGTGGAGTTGATAATCCCATAGATAGGATTATGTTGCTAAGAATAAAAGAGGGTTTATTTACTGTATTTTCTATACTGCAATAAGTGCATAACCTTTGCAAATCACTGGCTTTCTTTAGGCAGCCTTGAAAGTTGTAAATTATTAATCATAATTATGGCACAGTTGCACAAAATATTTCACTTTATATATCTTATTGTACTAGTTTGCACCTATATGGTGATTGGAATTTAGATGGCAGCTAGATTTATCAAAGGCTTTTTAATGGATTTGGAATACTTTGCATTAGCAGAAATATATTCTTTATATAGACTTTACATAAGTGTTTTCATCTCATACTTACCACACTTGACCTAATGCTATTTTATATAATGTGATCATTTAATTTTGTATTAGCAGTCAGATGGTCAATTCAGGCAGATATTAGGTCAAGCAATAAACCTCCCAAATCATATTTCCCTCCCTCCCTCCCTTCCTTCCTATCTTTACATCAGTGTTGATTCCTGGTGACTGCCTGGACCAGTCCCTGCAGTTTGCTTGGCACGATTTCAGAAGTGTTTTGTCACTGCCTGCTTCCTTGGGCTGAGAGAGAATGATTGCCCCACGATCACCCAGCTGGCTTCATGCCTAAGCCCAAACTAGAACTCCCGGTCTCCTGGTTTCTAGCCTGGTGCCTTACCCCACTGCACCAAACTGGCTATCTCAAATCATCTCTTATATGAAACAATCTGTAGGAATGTCTAGTCAACGTATGTTGCCATTTTTAAATGTAAGCAAAAATGTTCTCATTATATAGAATTTTTTGTAAGCCATTTGTCTAGCGCCACTTTTCTTAATCTAAATCCTCCAGTAATCATGTGAGGAATGTGTATAATTGCTGATGAGTTCCACTACAATATTTGATGGAGTCTTGTCAACATATTTAAATTATAAGTGTTAATCTCATTTTGTTTTCTGTTTTCCTTACCTGGGACAAAAGGGCCAAGAAGTACAATCCATTTTATTAGCAATGCTTTAACTAGTGATTTGTATTTACTTTTGATTGTGGTGTGATTAATGCTGATAAGTTACCATTAGTTGGTTTCAAAGGCCCTGGATGGGTCCCATTTGCACCTCTCCTCTGAGAATACATCAGCAGTTGGCTTCTGCACTACTTCACTTACTATTTTAGTTAAGTACTTCCAGAGGAGCTTGGAGGAAATTACTAAGTATTGTTGAAAGAATTTGCATGCAGATTCCCTTGTTAACTAACTCTCCCCCCCCTTTTTTTTTCTCAGCTATAAATGAAGAAGAGGAGTTCTTCTATTTAACCTCAAATTGTCCAAGATTACAGCAAACAATATGCTTTCTTATTCTCCTACTAGGCTGCCTTTTCACATTGTTTTGCACAAAGCTCTTCTATCAACTGTGAAGCACTCACTTATTTGGACTGGAAATCATGCAGGGATCTGCACAATGTGAGAAGGCTAGAAACAAAGACTGTTGCTTTTCCACTATTTATTTACCTGTTTAACAGGATTGCTTTAGGATTTTTATCTCTTTTCTTAAAATTCCAGTTATATTTCTATGGTAAAATCACCCTGAATTACCTCATTTTAATAGTGTTTACTATATAATATCAGGAATAAAAGAAGCAGCTGTTTTGCTTGTAAGTATTTATACCAGACATTATCATTCAACCTTTCCATATCTGCTGCCCTCTGGATAGTTGAATTTCAGCTGCCATATTAGCTAGGAGGTACAGAGTTGCAGTCCAAGACATTTCAAGAGCACCGTATTGAGAATGCTTCTGTACCTAGTTGTAAACGAATCTGCATTAAGAAAAAGTAAAATCTTAAAATCATCCAATTATATACTAAAAACACCAGTGGCTGTTCATATATTAGCTCTGTGTTAAACCAAGGTTAAGTTGTTATTCTTGTTAATCAAGACTAAGTATAATATTGCACAAATCACTGTCACAAGTCACTAAGTATAATATTGCACAAATACTACTTCTGTTTGAATCAGATTTAAGCAGTATAATACTTTATCTGTTGCAGTATTGACTCTTCCAGTGGAAGAAAACTTATGTATTCTATGACATTAAAATATTTTAAAATTGTGTCTGTGTGTCTGCCTCTGTGTGTATTTATTTGTGTGTGTTTGTGTGTATATTCAAGCTAAATACACTGACAACTTCAATTTATTAGAGGTTCCTCTTTTTCAACTTCATAATGTTTCTCAGACTTAAAAGAAGTCTGTTCTATCAGTTATTACTGTTACATCATTAGGAATGGATTAATTGGTCTTTTTCTGATTCAGGTCACTTTTATATGTGTTCATTGATAAATAAGTTCCATTCTATGCTTTAATCTGTGAATTGTTTCTTTTCAAAATATCTACATGGAAGTGTGCATTTAATATAATTTTTACATTACTAATTTTTTTTTCCAACCATACATTTTAAATGTACTTTAATACATCTTTGGAATCAAAAATTGCACTGGTATAATTGGCAAATATAAAGGCTTGAAAATCAACATTTAGGTTGTTGTGGACCTGTTATGTTTATATCAGAATTCATAAAATGCAAATGCCTCAAGTCTCTGAAGCTGGGGTAAAATCTCATTATGTTTTTGAAATTTGTTTCAATCCATTCCATTCCAAACAGCCATATGGGTTGGTTGCATTCACACAACATGTTTACTGGGTTTGGTTTTCTTGTCTACATCCTAAGCAGATTAATCCAGAGGACAGACTAATTTATCCCTGTCAACCATGAAGCCTGAACAACTTACTGGAGTTTTAATTGTGTCTTCCAAGACACAGATCTCTAGAGGCCCTGCAAAAATGAGGCCTCGCTGGGAACTTTTATCACTTACAATGACTTTGGGAATTAGCTGGGGAAGAAAGGAATGGGGGTTCAGTACCTGATGGACCTGACCTCAATGAGGCCACCTCAGCTTTGTTAACAAATACATTTTCTAACAGAAAAAAGTGACACTCTCCGACCCATTTTTGTAAAAACAAGTCTCTCCTAATTGATTGAAGGTACCAGAGGTCATGTGTTGCCAGCACAGGAGGAGAGCTGCTAACAGAATCAGGGATGTTGTGAAAACATGGTAACTGCACATAATAAGCTCACTTATTGCATTGATTTCTTTGTAGGTCAGAAATCTTTGATGTAAGTTAATTTGATAGTTATTAGATATTTATATGGTTCCATTCAATAGTCTCAGCCTGTATTACATAATGAGAAATGTCAAAAGTTGACATAGATTAGTATGTCATACATTCAGTTCATCAAGTATGTCTTTTTAAAAAGAAAGAATGCTTCCAAGTTGAACGCTTGGAAGGATTTTATATTTGCTTTGTTTCTTTGGCCCTAGCAGTAATCATGTTTCCTACATGTATCTGTTTCTTCCTGGAATTCTACACTGTTCTTTTCCTCCCCCCACCCCCCAAACAGAATTTTTTGCAACTGTGTCCATCAACCTTGCAGTCCGTGTGGTGCATTTGGACAAAAATGAGTGGGCCCGTAGAATCTTCAGCTAGCACTGTGAATTTAACTAGCATACGTGACTGAAGTAACCAAGTTCAGGTTTCTGTTAAAAGAAATCAACAAAAAAAAAAACCCCAGTCTAGATTTGATTTAAGAGGTAGAAGACTCGGGTTGGGGGGGGGAACACGCAAGGAGTAAAAAAGAAACTATGTGATTTTGCAGAAAGATTCACAAAGCTGCCTAAATGGATACAGTCATGCAAAATGTATCAGCCTGGAAATAAGTCGAGTGATTTTTACTGCATGTAAGGTAATGTTTAAATATAAGAAATTACTTCAGCAGCAAGACAAGGATACATAGGATCCAAGAAGTGTATGGTTAGTTGCCATGGTGTTCAACAGTTGCTTTGATACTGAAATGCACATATCAAATATATGTACTGAATCTTGAGAACAATTTTTGTCCCTGAACACATATCTTGGTCTGTTTCATAAGAGGCATGCGTACATTACAAATGCACAGAGGTATCTTACTGAGAAAGCAAAAGGAATGACTGAGGTTAAAAACAACAGGAAAATGTCCCCGCAATGGTGATTGATTTCTGCTTATTCTTTATGTACTTTCCAGCAGTGCATTCAGATAAAAAATGGTTTGGGTTGTTTTTTTGTTTGCTTTGCAAAAAAAAATTAGTTTTGCTAGGTCCAGATATTCTCTGAATTTCCTCTAAATACAAGCAGGAGGTATTCATGTCTTTTACTAGGCATCTAGTTAGTCATGGCAGAGAGGGGAGATGTGAGCCTTTAGCCTGGTCCACCAGAGCAGCATTTCTGAATCTCAACAACTTTCAGATATGTGGACTTAAGCTCCCAGAATTCCCCAGCTGGTTGAAAATTGCTGAGATTGAGCAATACTGCTCTACAGCATGGGTAGAAGGAATGATAATGAAGGGAAGTAAGGCTCAATGAAGACTTAATGGTGTTAAGTTCCTTACTTTTAAAGACGACACAATGCGATTATTTTGTATGGATTCAAATTATGAGATCTTTATTGAAGAACAAGGCTGGAATAATCTAAGAGAGTCATTAGTTCAAGCCAGTAATATAAAGACTGCCATTAAATTCAAATTATTCCTTTTTAATATTCTCTCTTACTCTCTAGGGTTCATTTGATTTGTATCCTTGTTCCCTCTCTTCCCCTCTCCCATGAAATGACAGAGACTTTGGGCAGCCGACATTTAATTTTGGTGTTTCTGTTGTGTACTGAGTGGTCTGTTAGCATCACCTTGCGAAATTCAGTGTTTATTACTATAAACGGGCCCTTCCCCAAGTAGAGAAAAGGGGAAGTAAAATGAGTTCTCTCTGCATACAGTGGAACGGTATATAAAATAAAAGTCCTTATTTAATTGTGATTTGAAATAAATCCTGACCTTTTTTTTCTGATTGTTTCAGTTTTCTTAAAATTGTCAGGCAGAGACAGGCCAATGAGATGCATAAATTGTTTTGCCCAATTTAAACCAAAAACCTCCTTATCTGCAGTTGATCAGTCATGGAATTTCTTATTTGAGATTTATCTCAGGATATGATCCTTTTCCCCTTGGATAGCAGCCAGACCCATTGATATAATCTTCCCTCATGAAATTTGCCAGATTAGACTACCTACTTTTGTAGAAACAAGTCCCCCTCCTCCAACTCCCCATCATGTGTCATTGTTTACAGAGGAGCAGACATGTCGACTCCAATGTCCCCAGCAGGGGCCTAATTATCCAGGCCTCTGTTGAGGAATTTATATTCTGGGGTTATGAATACATGGCCGGAGAGGTAGAAATTACATTTTTTGAGCCAATTAAATTAGTTCTTCCCTCACCTTGAAGCTTTTCCTTAAGAACACAATAGCTGTGCATTGGTTATTTTTGGGCAGAATGATCGTGCATTTATTATTTTTTGCATATAATCTGCACAGCTTCCCCCAAGGCTGCATTTCTGCTGTTCAGATGTCTCCCTTTATGGACACTTAATGCACAATGTATTTTGTAACTGGGAAAATGCAATCCTAGTCCAATCTGTAACCAACTCACAGAAAATAATGTATGCAATGAAACATCCTTGCTTCATCAATAGGATTCAGTATTTGAGAGCAAATTGCAAAGATTGTGCTATTAGTCTGCTTCTGTTAAATTGTGGCAGATTCAGCAGGAAATTTTGGTCTACAAGCATATGCATAGATAATTTACCCAGGTAAAATATGAACAATAAGAAGAATTGCCATGTACAGATCCTAGCTTGCTCAATAAAAACTAAATGGCGGAAGCTTTACGTACATTAATAGACCCAGATTGGAAATTTCCTAAATCTAGCATTAGAATGTAAATAGCTATCATTGCTCAAGTAAATTTTTATTTCTAAGTTTAGCTCATGATGAGCTGATTGAATCAAGTTAGAGGTTATTTCCTGTTGTACTATGAAAATTAAAGTAATACAACTTAAGAAATCATGTAGTTATGTGTCCAGGAAGCTATTGACGTCCTGCCTACCACATGCTACTCATCAAATGGACGCTGTGCTCAATCAAGAAAAAGCCAGAGCAACTCATCCCTTAGACTCCAGTGTTCAGCTATGTCTGTATAAAAAAATAATAGATGTACACAACAGCCTTCTTTGGGAATCCTCTGGGTTATATATGCAAAATGTGTTTATTGGAAGCTTTTTATAGGGTTTCAAGTATTTCTGTTTCTGTTCAGACTAATGGCATTTAAAATATACAGATATATACCCAGGTAAATATGGATGAACATCTATCTCCATCTCCTTTCACACAGGGATATAGTCTTTGACCACTAGCAGGTGCAGCATGACATCTATAATAGATACTCATTATAAATCAGCTGTTTAGTAGACCATAGCCTCTGAGTATATAAAAAAAACATGTCTCTGGTGCAAAAACCAGCCTGCTCCAGGGTTGAACCCATCCCAATTCAATTTCATAAAAAAAAAAAAAAACGGATAGCTATGCATGTTGACAGAGGTGAGGAAATAAGGTGAGGAAAACCACACCAGCTCTCAAAAAAATGTCTGCAGAATTTGAGCAGACTGACTAGGTTGGAATGTCTCCACTCTTATCTCTCTCCAGCTGTTCAGGAGTGTAGATAAAAGGAAAGGTTTCTCTGCTACAGAGCCCAAGCCCCTTCTCCTCACAAAGCAAATTGCAAGCACTTGAGTGAGGATTGTTTAAAGCAAACAGTGACGTTTGCTCTACAGCTCTGAGCTTACTTAGCTCAGTTAAATAAGAAGTGTTGGAGCCACCTCGGCCTCTGCTTTCTCACATTCGTCATACAGTACCCACTCCCTTGCCATGTAGCTGCCCTTTGTGGGAGGGGATGGCAAAAAGAAATATTTATCAAGTACTTCACAGTTCCTTGAACAATTTGCTCTTTCACTCCTCACAAGTTACCACAGAGCTTAAACAAATGGCATACCAGGTGATCAGCCTTCTGATTTGGAGCCATCCAGTATTAGTCTTTTCTTTCTCTTCATGTATTATTGCTACATAGTTGTTCCTGATGCTAGATGCATGCAGCTATTCCTACAGAACATCAAGTCCATGAAGGACAAGACAACCT